ATTACTTTAAAAGTAGGTTACTATAGTCAGTTGACAGACAGTCCTAACTGTACTCCAGATGATCTGGCAAAACTGGATACTGACTGGTTAAAAGTAGGTTTACTAAGTACTTTTTAACATATAAGTATTTTTATGCTGTCTTGGAGGTGCAGTAGTTGCAAGAGCGGCTGTTGAACATCACATAAATAGCATTTAAGTAGCCACTCACTGCTGATTAAAGGTCTCTTCTCACACGGAGAAGGTTTGAGTATTAATCACCACGTTTGCTCAATACGGGTTGGCGATTTCAAACTTATAATTATAAATTATGTTTATTTCTTTTTGTGTCTGTTTTTATGGTGTACAATAAAGTGTGTAAATAATAAATTAATTAATTATAAGTCCAGGTTTACTCACGATGTTTCTCTTCGCCGTTATTCAGTGGTGTCTTTTAATCTTAGAAAGTACATATAACTCGGAAAAGTCACATTGGTACTTGCGGTTGATAGGTCTCGTCTTAGACCTCCGAGCCACTGTTAACATAAGCGCTTTTTACTACATGCATATGCATTCTGTAATTGGCTTAAGTGATAATTGTCATCATCTCGTTATCACTGTGCAGCGTGTGTCGACTTCACTTTTCCAAGCTAGTATATATTCTTTCTTTCATGTAACTGCATAAGGCTGTGCATTGATAGTATGATGTGTATTCCCAACTCATGTAACTATATTAATAAGCTGTTTCCAAATAAACAAAATAAAAAATATGAATAAAATATACATATGATACACAGTCTAACCAAAATATTTTTTTTTACATTTTTTGCCTATCTGTCTGTCTGTTTGTACTGGCTAATCTCTGGAATGGCTGGACCGATTTTGATGCGATTTTATTAACATGTAGCTGATGTGCTAAGGAGTAACATAGGCTATTTTTATTTTGGAAAACAAAACAAATAAACTAAATAATATCTTAAAATTCATTTTCAACACAGACGTAGTCGCGAGCAACAGTTAGTTAAGTCATAAAACACTAGTTCAGACTTCCTTAAAGAAAGATATTTCCTTAAATAAAATATTCTTAGCTAATTAATCACCCATTGAGTTATAAATCTTAATCTAACTAAATTAATTATCTTCCTTATGTAACATTATGATATAACTCAAATTGTAACATGCTATGTAACATTACGAATCACCTTTGACATGAGAATTTTTGTTAATTTTTGTAGCTTTTAGTTTTACATGGTTTATTTCTTTTGTTTATGTTATGGTGTGATCTTTTTGTTTATTGTCGTTTAATGAAAATTTAGTTTCGCTTCATGGGAAGTTAGGTGAGAATACAAGTCGCCTGCTATTTTCTTTTTTAGTTTTTACTTAGGCTTTACTTACGGAACGTGTCACGACGGTTCGATTCCCGCACGGAACAACTCTTTGTGTGGTCTACATATTGTTGTTCCGGGTCTGGGTGTCATGTGTATGTGAACTTTTGTGTTTGTAAACGCACTCACGACACAGGAGAAAATCCTAGTGTGGGGCAACGTGTGTTTAAAAATAACCCTCTGATCCTAGATCCGTTGATAATAGAGAGCAGTGGGGCTCTCTTTGGTCGCAAATAATTATGTGAGTGTGAAACAGCTTGGTTCATTTTTTATCACCTGGTTTATTATAATTATATATGTAGATGTTTGCAGCCTGGGTTTGCTTAGTGTTGTGCCGTACTGACACATTCTACAATGCTTGGATTAACAGCGTATCTGACAAAAAATGCGTATACTTAAGCAAAACTTCAAATACATTACTGTACACTCAGTGAACCTACGTTCCATTGTACCTAGGCCTATTCTGTGTACGTAAAGCATGACAGTATTAAAAGTGTGTGAAGGATGACCACCCATCCATGGCACAAACACAATAAACGTCGCTTAACCTACAAAGAGTTTTTGCAGTCATTATAAAGTACATTACCTATGTACCTATATAAAAAATATTACATACATTTGGGTTGAATTGATAATCTCCTTATTTGAAGTCGGTTAAAAAATAGTCCATAGCTCAGAAAAGAAGCTATCAAGCGCTAGCAAAAGCTAGTCTTGTATTTTATTTTGAACCTATCCATAATCTATATATATATCATAATTTATATAACTACATAAATATTTACAACTGAAAATTAACTACAACTAAACTATTAAATAAAAAGAAAGTAAAAGAAAACAACAAAAATTATACCCTTAATTTAGGCGTCAAAGTATTCGTCCGCATCACTATCACAGGGGAAAGTTCCCAGAAGACTGGCAGCATTGCCACGTTGAATGGCAATGCTTATTTTCTGTCCGAAGAAAAAGCCAGCCCTCTGGTCACGTGTAGAGTCGATTAGCCTACGGGCGATGTCTTTTAAATATAAATGAATCCCTTTTTCCCTTGGTCACGGCATCACACGTGAATGGCTGGACCGATTTCACTAATTCTTTTTTTGTTGTATTTGTCATTATTAGGAGAAGGCTCTTAATTTGGAAAAAAACCTGGAAATCCTACGGGAACGGGAAAAAACGGGATTGCGCGTACGAAGACGCGGGCAGATGCTATCAGATTATAATATCCAATCATACCCCAATAGGCCCGTCTATTCCTTATCTCGCCTTGAGTGATATGTAGTAACAAAGTTATGTAACATTTAGACCTTTGTCTCACTTATTCTTCAATGAAATGATCCATCTTCTATGTTATTAACACCACCTTCATAGCACCTTCAGATACATTATGCAAACTTACATCACAATATAACAACTCAATTGCTTATTTAAATACAGCCTACAAATGTAAAACAATAGTTATTTTGAAAAACACGCACCATCTTAATTGTACGGTACGCAAAAATGGTAGGTGCGTTACAACTGTTAAAGCTACGTGTACCTCGTGTAACGTAATCTAATAACACGTTACATTTTGAGAAAGTGTTTCATCGTAACATTTGTTTAATTATAGAGGTCAATTTTTTACCTTATTGTTTGAATGGTAGGAAACATGGCTACTGAGTCGTTTTATAGGATAAGCCGGTAAACGAGCAGACGGATCACTTGATGATAAGCAATCGGCGTCGCCCATGGACACCTGGAACACCGGAGGAGTTACAAATGTGTTACCGGCCTTTTGCGATTGGGAATTTAAGGATTGTTGGGGATTCAGAGATCGGGAAGGTGAGGGGGTAATTGAGCCTCCGGTAACCTCACTCACACGAGGAAACACAACGCAAGCGTTGTTTCATGTCGGTTTTCTATGAGGCCGTGGTATCACTCCGGTCGAGCCTGCCCATTCGGGCTGAAGCATGGGTCTCCCTCACTTAGTCTAGGTTTAACTCTCGGATTGAGTAAAGTTCTATTGAATTTATTGGGTTTTTCGAAAACAAATCTATTTCTAGTTCAGTTATTATTGATGTTATCAAAAAATTATTCTTATTTTGATTCAGCACTTAACAAAACATTTTTTATCTGTGCTTCAATAATATCTTGTCCCACTTCTTTTGTTTGTCTATGTGATCTTATCATAGTCTAGACGCTAGACTGATTAAGCTACCCAGATCTGATTGTATAAACAAAAATCGTATTTGTTTTTATAGTGACGGCTAGTCTAAGTTTAGCCATATTTTCATGGGCACAGACTTACATACAGGTGCCCATGAAAGCCGCGAAGATGAAGGTTTTGTTTTTAAGGGGGGAGAATCATCGAATGACTACTCCCGCCTAGGTGAGGCGGGAGGGAGTGTCAGACTCTTACTGACTAAAAACCACCCCGTTCCTACTCCTGCACTTCGAGCCGGAGCCCCGGTAACCCGTTAGGTTATCCGCGACTCCGTTAGGTTCAAGGTTAAAAGTGCGTTACTAGCCATTAAAATTTTACTACTTTGAATAAATAGATCTGAACACATTATTGCTTATTTTAACAGACTTCAAAAAAGAAGATTTTTTACTTGACCTGTGTGTATGTATGTATGCACGTTTGTGTGCGATAATCTCGAAGTTAGCTGAACCGATTTCGATGCGGTTTCCAGAAAAGTGTTTGTAAACACTTAGGAGAAGACTTTAGTACATTAATTCACCGACTTCCGTCAGACAGTCTGTTGGTTTTTTTAAAGGTAGTTCATAAAAGACTTATTATTCATGATAGTGCCACTTTTTTTATCAAACAAAACTAACTACGTCTGTCTTCAATCCTGATCAAACTGGGAATTAAGCTCATATACATCCTCCTATCTTCTCCATCAGAGATCTTGTCAGGCAAGCATTACATCGCCAAGTGTTCCCACAATCCGCAATAATTTACACATAATTGTGCTGTAGGGCGCCATTGTACTAGAATTAAAACAATTTGTACTTATTACATAAAATAAAAAGCTTCCATGTTCTTCCATTGTTGTGGTTATGGTAACACCATGGGAAGTTGTAAACACCATCTTGCGAGGTCATTCACCTATTTATATGTGTAAAGGCATTTGTGAGTCAGAAATCGCTTTGTTGGACTAGTAATCCTAAGTGAGACTACTGACTAAAGTGTTTAAGGTTCGATTTTCAATGTTCGGTATGGTTTTAGGGAACAGAGAGTATAGAGGTAGTTCCCTAGGATTGGAAAAGGAGGATCCACCGAATACGCGAGGTGATCGGACCTAGCGGGCTTTCTGTCCAACAGTTGTTCGTTGAGATTTTCTATCCGTGTTAATTCGCATGTAAACTACACATGTGCGATATAGGATTTTGTAACGTCATCCGTTGATTTGTTTCATCGAGATTCTATGTGCGTGAACTGTTATGCTGTCATTTGAAATGTGTCGACACAGATTTATTGATGTTTTTCAGATGCATGCAAATAAGTTCACTCCTATTATATTTGCATTAGTCTCATAACACGCTTAACTTGCAAAACGTTGTTAATGTATAACTCTGCCTACCTCTTTAGATATGAAAGGCGAAACGTTATATTCAATCAATTAAAAATAACTCTAACATGTATTTTCTTCTTCGCAGGACAAGCAGCGCCCTCCAATCTACAATCCCGAGGATTATGCAACTTCTTTGAAGAAATGGGGTAAGAAGACAGGCGGTGCCAGCCTGTACGACCTGGAGGCTGGACAAGATGCCAACAAGTCCAGGACACTGCCCAACCAGGGTAGTAAGGACTTCAGGTAACGTATAAACCGTAATACCAAATATTACTCTTATTGTTAAATAGCTTTTGCTACCACCTTCGGACAAAAATGTTGATTCGATGCGCAGTCGATTCGAGTTTTTTTCTTTGTGTCTACATTATCGCCTACCGCGTCTGTACGTCAGGATAAGAAACTGGGCTATCAAAATATGGGTCATGAATTCAAACCTAGGAATATCATAACATAACATCACGCCTTTTTATTGCGACAATTAATGCCACTGTGCAATGTAACACCCACTTTTAACTATTTATGTTATGAGTCCCATGTAATAGGGGGTGAGCCTATTGCCATATACCGGGCACAATCCCAGACTCCATGCTACCACTGAGATTTTTTTTAAAAACCCATTAATACTTTGCCCGACCCTTGAATCGAACCCGAGACCCCTTGACCGGCAGTCGCACTTACGACCACTCGGTCAATGATGTAGCCGACTTAGGAATATGTACAATATTATTTGGATTAACAACCATAGATCAACTACGTACTATAAACTCAATCACCTTCAATTCCCAGATGAGTAAGTTTATACTGTTGTTGTTGAATGCTTTTTCTTCTGATACAGCAGTGACTTGCATTGTTACTAGACTATAAGTCTCTTCTACAAAACGTTCGGCATTTGGGTTAAAGATCACATTAACAAATATAAACTAGTGTCTTATGTATTCTACTCAGCAGTCACCGACTCATTATTTCTCTCTAAGTCTCTTACATCACCTTTTGAAAAAGGTTTTTTAATGTGTTTCATATAGGCTTTTGTTTCCTCATTACAAAATGACTATACAATGATGGTGTCCACCTGTAGAAAGTCCAGGAAGTAGGTAATTGTTGAATGTACTTACAATAATATTAGTCCGCTGATGTTGGTACTCAAATGGCGCTCGTTAATGACTTTCTTGTTTAAGAATACTTTCATCCGCTTTTGGTGTAAAGTGTGACATTATTATGTCGTTTGTGACAACAAATTTTGGAGTGAACATTTTTGCAGATGTTTCAAAATATCCCCTGGTATAACCTCGTTGATTCACATCAACAGTCTATAAATGCCCACTGCTGAGCAAAGCCTCTTCTCACACGGAGAAGTTTTGAGAATTAATCACAACGCTTGGTCAATGCGGGTTGGTGATTTAAAACTTATAATTAGAAATTATAAGTCCAGGTTTCCTCACGATGTTTTCCTTCACCGTTTGTCAGTGGTGTCTGAATAATGTTCGAAAGTACATATAACTCGGAAAAAGTCACATTGGTAGGTACTTGCCGTTGGTAGGTTACGAACCCGCACCTCATGCATGAGAAGTGGGCGTCTTAAACCACCGGGTCACCACACCACCTCCTCGATTGTCATAACCTTGTTGATTGAATGGTTGTAATCCTCGTTGCGTAAAGTTCTCAGAAAACGTGTAATTTAGGTATTTCCAAGATTTTTTCTAATTTGTGCCTGATATATGTATGACAATGGGCTCACCCCTTATTACCAAAGATACTGATAAAAATCGGGTGTAAATTGTATATCTGGCATTATGCCCACCTCTACTACCCTCTTAGAGATAAAAGGTGTGACGATATAAAAAAATAGCTGAATAAATCGTAAAAACGAAATCTAAGTATCATTCTAAGATTAGATTGACAAGTCTTTCTTATAATTTACAGAAATCCGTGCTTGGGTGTGGGAGAAGAGATGACCCTCCGTCAGTTTGGAACACCCAGTGAGCTGCTGACCAAGCTCAGAGCTGATCTACGACTGTCTTTTCCAAGGTAAGTTCACCATTGACATCTCCAGATGGTACGCTGAAACACTCAAACGCCACTGAATTTGAAGTAGCGCTTAAGATTGGTTCTGTTACTACAAATCCTTTGCAAAATGACTCTGGCGGGTGATAATAATATATTGCTGAACAGGGATTTTTAAAGGTAATTATTATCATCATGCTTGGCTGATGGTTTAGATTCTATCTTTTTAATCAAATGAAGTCTTAACTGAAGATAACATCTGGAGCTCGTTACTCAAATATTGCGACGGCAATGATAGTCTAATGAGAAAGTAAATTTACATAAAATAAACTAAATAAAATAAACAGAAGTATACTTATTATATTATATTTAAAAAAAAAACTGAAAATGACTGAGGACAAAGCATCAACAACTGTACCCACAGTTAAAAATCACACACTTTTTGTTAAAAAATCCAAAATTAAACGGAAATCTTTTCTACTAACTTCTATAAACTAAACTATGTAACCCATGTAATGTACTTGTTAAACGTAAAAAATGAATATATGCACCTGTAGCCAACCCCTTGAACATTAAAAGATGACAATCTTATGGTAATGATAACATCACGATGAGTAATTTGACGTATTTTTCCTCCTTTACAACAGCTAATTTCCTTACTATTTTGCCTAAGTTTGGTGAACTTCCTAATCTTATCTACCAACTAGCTATTGCCCACGACTACGTCCGCGTAAAATATGAATTATAGGGCATAACTTTTTTTTTGTATCGACACATGTCAAATTACAGCTAACGCACATAGACGAAAACGGATGACGTCGCAAGAATCCTACATCGCACATGCAAAGTTTACATGTGAATTAATATGGATAGAAAATCCCTACGAACAACTGGCAGAAAGTCCGCCAGGCACGATCACCTCGCCTGGTCGGAGGATCCTCCTTTTCCGATCTTAGGGAACTATACACTATGTTCCATAAAGTTTCAATTTTCCAAAATAAAAGTAACCTATGATACTCCTTAGTATATCAGCCAACTGCCAATAAAAGTCCCGTCAAAATCGGTCTAACCATTTCAGAGATTAACCAGTACAAACAGTTAGACAGACAGTCAAAAATGGTAAAAAGTGTTATTTTGGTTATTTGTATTGTATGTATATTCATATGCATGTAATAAAAAGCGGATATTTTAATATTACAAACAGACATTCCAATTTTATTTATCTGTATAGATTAACTATTTGTCATAAAAACTAGGCCAGGATTATGACAAGCGAATTATGTAACGAGTTAGTCATTGTATTATTATCTATAATAATAGTTGGGCATTGTTAACGTATTGTCTAAGTACTGATAATAATTTATTATCGCTTCGCAGTAAAATTTCGCGAAAAAATGTATCGCACTTCCTCTTTTTTAATCGGTGAACGAATTATTGCTGTATCTACGGCCATGATTTTAATCAACCAAATATGAACTCCTTAGAACTAAACCAAATGTATCCAGATGGAAATGTACTAGAAATGTCAACGTCCTATGTTCGACAACTTAATATTTTGGAGTTTGCTCCCCTACCCTAGCTAAATCAGACTACCAAGGATGGGGCCAGATAGGGCTGATGCCGTTACGGAGCCGCGGAGAACGTAAAAGAGTACCGGGGATCCGGCTCGAAGTCTAGGAGTAGGAACAGGATGGTTTTTAGTCAGTAAGAGTCAGACACTCCCTCCTTAACACAGGCGTTCAAGCCATTTGATGATTTTGCCCCTTAAAGAAAACCTTAGCTAAATGAAGGTCCAACCAAAGGAATTTAGAATCCATTAATTATATTTGTCCTAAAATTTTGTAACAGAAATATATTGTGCAATTTGCGCAGTACTGCAAAAGTCATTAAATAATTTGTCAAAATGATAATACAGTTTACTTCCTACCAATAAATTTATCAATCTGTATCACAGAAAGCGATTCCGACTTCCTTAATTTTTTTATAACAGTTGAATTATAAAGTAATTTCATAAGATTTTCTACAGAGATAATACTGAACACCGATCAATATCAGTGCTTGCATAAAAAACTGACGGTAAGCGGTTAAGCCTTTGACTGCTGACAGAAAACTGCTGAAGGCAAATCCTCCGCTAACGTAGGTCACCGGTGACCTACGAGGCGGTTAACGTGTTAACGTAGCCTTATTTACGCTTTTTTTTAAGGGTAAAATCATCAAATGACTGCTCCCGCCTGGGTGAGGCGGGAGGGAGTGTCAGACTCTTACTGACTAAAAACCACCCCGTTCCTTCTCCTGCACTTCGAGCCGGAGCCCCGTAACCCGTTAAGTTCTCCGCGGCTCCGAATCGGGCTCAGCTCTATTATGTTTGTTTGAGTTTGTTTGTTTGTTCCACTTTCACGCCATAAGTACTTAACCGATTGCTTTGAATTTTTGGAGGTGTATAGTTAGAAGTCCGGATTAAATAATAGGGTACTTTTTATCCCGGAAAAATTTGATATTCCCAAGGGAAAACAAAAGTATTGGTATAGATGGCGCTGTGTATTGGTATATCTCACATTGGCTTTTTATCCTTTTGTAACGCGAGCGAAGCCGCGGGTAAAAGCTAGTTTCTTATAAATTAGACCAGGAAAGCACTTTTAACAAATAATTTATACGCTGACTGAAAGTAGTCAAGGATGGTATCATCCTCACAAAGTCAGTACACAATTTTAGTAAAAAGAAAGTAAAAATTACCTAGTTCATATTTTTCACAACAAAATGTGTAAATAAAGATCAAGTATAAAGCAGTAAATGTCCGCACTTAGTGAGCCACTTACCGCCTTATATTAAGCAGTAGCTTCAGTATCTAGCAAAATTACTGGTTTACTTACAATCTTGCAAAATTACAGCGCTGCATAATGCATAAGATGAAGCGATTTACTAGTTATAAAAAAACATCTGTCACCAAAGGCCGTTGCCATAGTGCCACTGAGATCCAAAGATCTCCTAGAGGTCTTTGAAAGAAAGAAAGAAACAATAAACTTTATTTCACGCCAAAAAATAAGTGACATGTACAAATAAGTCATTCTATATGTATGTACTGAGAGATACATGTTCATATCCCAGGTCTGCCGCGAAATGGGACCATTTCAGCATATGCAAGACATTATCAAATTACCTAATTTAAACTTAATAACTCATGTTAGCTTGCTCTTAATATACAAACACGTCTATCACAATAGTTATCAATTCATATATGAATATTTTGTCTAAACATGAACAAAATTCAAAATATTACCGGAGTTATCTTTCAGAAATATCCTGATATAACTACATATTTTAGTTGACGCTGTTATTATTTTTTCTTTTTGTAAATCGCTCCTAGCCTTAGACTTAGACCACAATAATCGTAAGGATGTGACCGCGTAAAACATTTTCTAAAAATATCCTTGTAAAATTAACGCGTCTTTAATATAGGAGGAACAGCACTTTTATAGTGTCTTTTATTTTTACTAACCTTTCAGTTTATTGTCGTATAAAATTAATATCTATGGCTAGTAGTAATAATGTCTCGTTTTGAATATGGTTTAATTGTTGTTAAGTATTCATATTTAATGGGTAGACATTTTGCATATATACACTTTAAATGTTCAACATATACAGGCGCAAGCAGGTCAATTCAAACCTTTAAATCAAATCCCTTTATTAGATTTTCAACTGTATTATTCCGTCACAAAATTAAAAATGCAATGAAATAGTATATGACAAATTGTGGGACATTATAAAAAATTACAAAAATTATATCACCCACTTCTATCCTATATATCTAATAGGAAGCTAAAAGGATGGACTTAGGCTATAATATTAATACGAACATAAATTACACACAGCAATTTTAATGAAAAATGTAAATTATAATTGTAACTTATAGTACAGAAACTAATGGTCTAAGTAGAAAACTAGTTACATAAATACAAATGATACAATTTACTTTTAGTAGAGGAGGTAGGAACTCTACGGGTTAAATTACTTTTAACGGTGAATTAAATTGTATCTATGAGATATATCTTAACTTTATTGATAAAGGTTTAATTCCTGGTTCATTTCATTGGCTTTATGGCCACACAGTCAGGAGCCTTATAAATAATTTGGGGCTCTTTTGAAATGCTTCTTTTTGTAACGTTGCACCATACTAGGAGTTTGTTAGGAACCTAACGGGTAACCGGAGCTCCGGCTCGACGTGCAGGAGAAGGAACGGGGTGGTTTTTAGTCAGTAAGAGTCTGACACTCCCTACCGCCTCACCCAGGCGGGAGCAGTAATTCAGATAGGAGTTTCTCCTATATCATTGGTACATTTACAAACATACAAGTTGGCATACACATGACATCCAGACCCGGAACAACAATTTGTGGATCATTCAAAGATTTTCTCCGTGTATCGGGTGTGTACCCGTCGTAGACATTGTCGGTCTTCAGGGTCCTCCCCCTGAGGATAATTAAAGGGCCCTGGGTACGAGCCCCGAGTGCCATTATGATAAAGACGGTATTGCACACAGTATCTAAGTATTGATAGATACACTGTAACACATAAACGTCGTCGTGGTAGCCTGGAGGTTAAACGCCCGCTTCTCATGCATGAGGGTGCAGGTTCGAAACCTACCAGCGGCAAGTACCAATGTGACTTTTTCCGATTTATATGTACTTTCTAAGATTATTTAGACACCACTGACAAACGGTGAAGAAAAACATCATGAGGAAACCTGGACTTATAATTTCTATTAAAATTATTATTTTGAAATCGCCAACCCGCAATGAGCAAGCGTGGTGATTAATGCTCATACCTTCTCCGTGTGAGAAGAGGCTTTGCTCAGCAGTGGGCATTTATAGGCTGTTGATGATGATGATGAACACATAAACGACCACGCCTGTTCTTGACTGTGGTTGTTAATTGTTACTATTTACTTTAAGGTAGCCTTCTCTGAACAAATATATATAAATTGTTGTTAGAGATAACTTGCACTTAAACTATTATTCAAGAATACATTATGACTAGTTTAACGTTCATAATTTAAATAGTTAGATGGTTCGAAATGCGGCTGCCATCCATGATGTGTTAAATTATATTTTGTTTTTTTCAGTTTCGTCCAAGAGTTCTCGTGCGAGCCGCTAGATGGCGTGACTTTATTGCTGGAACTCTTGCGCAACGTCCAGCTGACCCAATCAGGAGAGGGTGCGCGTGGGCCGCCCGCTGTGAGGAGAAGACCGCTATTAGATGAATTAGCTTGTTTGTAAGTCGAATATTGTTTTGTGGCTATTATTGGGAGTACTACGGAAAGTATTCCGTAGTCAAAAATAAATTATTTCAACTGTTCAATATAATAAAACATTAAAAAACAATCACACTTCCATTAATTGATTTTGCTTACCTATTTAATTTTAGTATATTTTCAGCAATTTTTCATAAAATAAGTATGCTGTTTGACGCTATAAAAAACGTGACGTCACAATACACAATCTAGTATAAAAACCTGTCGTTTTAGACAGTTCGAAAAAAGTATTGAATTTTACTAGTTGGCAAGTACCCAATTGTAACTTCTCTATTCCAAATTACGATAAACTTCAACTTGTCGGGCTGTTTTCCAATATTAAAGTCGCCTGACAAAAATAAAGATATAAGATAAAACCTTCTTATGTATTAGACGCCCATGTAGTCCTGTTCCTCTTACGGGTCGTTGATGATGATAATGTTGATGGCGATTTCAAACACCAGTTCTAATTGTGACTCTTCTTCCAGACAATGTTTATGGAGCTGCTGCAGTCGTTACCCAGACTGCGTACGAAGATTAGTGTCAGGTTCCAATGGAGTATACACCCTCACCGTCTGCATCATGTCCACTGTCAATAAATCCAGGGTTCTAGCGTTGCAGGTAATTCTATATACAAACAAAAAGTACTTAATTTCACTGGTTTATCAGTTGAATGTAGTATTGCGGAGAACCTAACGGGTGACCAGGGCTCCGGCTCGACGTGCAGGAGAAGGAACGGGGTAGTTTTTAGTCAGTAAGAGTCTGACATACGTGGGAGCAGTCATTCGATGATGTTCGTCCCTTAAAAAAAAATACCCATGAAGTGCAGGAGGCGTCTGACTCCATTTCTCGAACGAGCGAAGAAGTATTAAGGTGCTTCCACACAGCAGTTTTATGTAACGTTAGAGACTGACTTAACATTTAATTATTATTTTAATATAAAAATTTAATTATTATTTTTTCGGCTTACTCACGTAACTGTTTAACGAGGAACTCGACTAGTTTCAAGCCATGCTAGAGGCCCCTATTTATGAGCAGCATTCCGCGACCCGCGACGCGGCGACTGTCGCGCTGTTACTGGCTGCTTGAGTGAGCTGCGGTGCTGGACTAATGTGCCCTCTGCCGTAATTCGTGAAAAAAAAACAAAACAAATAATAATAAATTAGTATGTCTCACGAAAGTTTTAATATAAATATAACACATCTGTAGTAGTGACTTGACATGTTGTAGAGTATGTTATAAAATGTTATCATGTTACACAATGTGATATAACGTTCTGCTGTGTGGGAGCACCTTCAGGGATGCAAAACTTGCCTACTTTTAGAATCAAATAAGGAATGTAGTCATCAACTTTATCGAGGAACAAAGTATTATCATTATTCATAGTAAAACAACAGATCTGATATAAAAGAACAAACATTCCATAGTGTTGAATAGTTTCATTATGATCAATAATTCTACCATTTCAATCAATAATTACATATTGTTTCCTCTCATTTCAGCTCCTAACGAAAGCCTGCTACCCACCAGCAAAAGGCCACAGCATGGTTTCCGAAGCTCTATCCACTCTCCGTCTCCGATATGGTGAACCAGTTCGCTTCAGGTTCCTAGTGGGGATGCTGCAGAGTTCTGGTGGTTCTGGTGACCTTCAGGCAGCTGGTCTCGCCTTCATCAATGCCCTGTTGAGCAGTGCTCCAACTCCTCAAAGGAAGCTGTACATCCAAGCTGAGTTGGAGCAGGCTGGCTTTGATATTGTTACTTTGAAAAAGGTAAGCAGATTTTTTCTATAAGCACCTCTGTACGTCACCACCTTTAAGTTTGGGAGGGCCATGCTTTGGTACGAATCCCCGGTCTCATAGAAAACCGACGTGAAACAACGCTTGCGTTGTGTTTCGTCGTGTGAGTGAATTATCCCCCTCCCAAATCTCTCCAATCCCCGAATCCCCAATAATCAACAAACCGGGTGTCCATAGGGGCGCCAATTGCTTACCATTAGGTGATCCGTAAGCTCGTTTACCGGCCTATTTCGTTAAAAAAAACTTCCACTCACTCCAAGTCACTTTTCTTCCTTTCATCTGCTTATCATCAGTGAAGTATCCAAGCAACCTAATAGAAGGTTAGCGACAATAAATAATTCGTACAATACCCTTGAAATCACAACATTCTTATCAAGTTCATGTAATATCTTTGTGTATATACATTATGTTATTATCTATTTAATCATCAATAATTATGAGATAACCTTAAAATCAATATCTCTAAGTAATTACGTCCAGTTCACGTATGTCTCGGGAATTCACTGGGCGTGGAAAGTGCATACGGTAGTAGGTTAATCTACATCCTACTCTATTGCATTGTAATAATGGCGAATATTGGACTGGACTTATTGGAGCAGATGTAGATATTTAAGAGATTAGTGTAGGTTTAAGAGCTGATGTCTCAATTAGGCTTATTTTGATGATTAGGCTTACTTTAATCGTAAGGGTAAAATACTTTTTAGGTCAAGTGTGAATATTTTTATTGCATATAGACTGACTTTAGTAAAAGTATTAATTCCTTTAGATTACAAGGTAGCAATTTTACAAGGATTTTCAAAATTCTTTAGAAGTAACATTGAACAACAAATTACTATCAAGGTTACTAACCTTAATTCCAAATTTTTTAGAATATCTCAAAAACAATGTACATTGACTTGACTGAGAAATACAAAATATACCTACATATAAGTAGGTACAGAATGCAAACCAGTGCCCGAAACAATATATCCGTATTTATGAACAATCAAAATATTACATTAGGTACATACTTAAAACATACACAATAAAGTTACTTTTGAGTAGTCGAGGGTAATCTTAAAAATATTGGGTCGAGAATATCAAACATTGTGTTTTTACCAACAGACATTTGATTATTTATTTTATATCTTAAGAAAATTTCACAATTAGATTTTATTACTGTATTCTATAGAAGGAACCAAATATCATGATTTCATAATATTTGGTTCCGTCCGTGACTGATTTGCATTCAGAGTTGAACAGAATTTGAAAACATTTCAGATGGTAGCCAAGCTGCCGAGTGCGAACGATCAAGTGACGAGAGAAATAGATGATTACGAGAAGCAATTGATCGACATTGACACGTTGAGCGAGAAGGCAAATGAGGCTCAGAGAGAAAAAGATGATTTGAGGCACAAACTGGACCTGCTTGAGAAGAGAGTCAAGGTAAGAATAAAATCATATTTGTGATTAGTATGATCTACCTCGTTGACAGGTACTTGTTCGAATAATTAAGATCTTGATCTTAATCGAGATTGTCCAAGTCCTGAGACTTCACTCAGGACAATGTCTACCAATGATGTTGGAGTTTTCAATTTCAAATTTTACATGTTTCAGTTAGGTCATAGTCTAGAACGTGCCTAGCTATTTTTACAATATTTTTGCTTTAGTAGCAATATATCAAAATTTAGAAAACTTAAAGTACACCTACACATTTCCCTTCCATTGTAATATTGGTTACTTCGATGCTATCATCATAATTACGTGACCTTTGAATATTTCTATCTACTTAAAAAAAATCAGTTATAAAGAATATTTTTATTCACTTCGTCAGATTCTTCAAGAAGAAAAAGGGATCCTGCTGTCTTTAGAAAAATGTTTGAAAGAGAAGTGTTGTGAACTTCAGGAGGAAGTGTCGTCACTGAGATCTGAACATGGTAACTCCAATAGGAAGAAACCATTCGCCATGAAAAAGAAAAGTTCAGTTCATAGAAATAAAGGTAACCCATGCAATTAGTCATATTTATTTGTAATTATATTTCTTTTTCATCTCAAAACACAACTTTGCATCTCTTCAGATACTGAATATCATTATGTGGTAATTTTAATGAATGGTCCTCTAGCAAATGGCTACTGTAAACTATTATTTTTTATTTCACAGACGAGTCATCACCTCCTGAAGACGAAGGTATCAGCTCCTCAGAGAGATCTCTTAGCCCTGAAGGTGATCCTCAACGAGACTCCATGGTCTACGAAGTATTCAATGTCAAAAACGAAACCTACGATCTAATGCGAAACAAACGTACGTTACATAAGAAACTTGAATGCAAGAAGAATGATAAGAAATCTTCCGACGAAGAAGATGAAACCACAATAGATGAAGTTATTCAAGAATTAAGAAACATAGTTAATCATGCAGAATCAGAACAATATGCTAAAGATTTTATTGATGATCGGTCATCTAGATGTAACCAAACTTCAGAAATCAACGTCCCTCTAGAATGCAAGAAGCATAGGGATGAAAAAGAAGATTCTATCACAAGTACTAGACACAGTATACAGATTAAAGGAAAAGAAGATTTCCCAGATGATAGCGTAGAAGAGGATCAAGAGTCTGAAATTGTACCAAGCAGAATAGTCCCTCACCCACCTAGAAAGGCCAAGAGCCTGCTACACTTATTTGTCCCACCAGTAGTAGACCAAGGTTTGGTCTATAAACCACCTGATCTTTACGATGATCACTTCTATTCCAGTGACGAAGGATCTGACTCTTTACTTAGCGCCTCAAAATACACTAAACCAGTAAGCAAGAAACCTTCGGGTTCTAGTTTTGATTTCCACGAGTGTCGAGCTGTTTTCAATTCTATTACAGATAGGAATAAAGATGAAGGTAGACCTAAGCGTTCTAGGACTCGTTCCAGAGAAGAAAGTAGAAGGACATCTATTAAACGAAGTGAGTCCTTCCAAACTTCTGAAAAGGGATCTAGACAGAGGGAATACATTGATAGTATGTTTTATGGTGAATCTCATACTCCTCACATGGGTTCAACGAACCCATTGCAAAGATCTAATTCAAAATGCAGCCGTGTGGACGAAATAGTGAACCTGATTGAGTCCAAGAAACTTACTAAAAGTCTTGACAGGATTGATGAGGGTCTGAACTCGATGGTAGATATTGTAATGCTGACTGAACCTAGGAAGCCTATCTGGCCATATGAGAGACGACAGAGATCCTGCTCCAGGACTAGCAGTGATGGAGGAAACGAGAGTCCCTTGATCCCAGTCACGAGGTCCAACAGCAAACTTACCAACATACATCGTTACGATACAAAATCCAAGGATGATATTATGAAAATGGAATCAAAGCAATTTTACATGACCCAGCCTAAGTTGAACTCTAGCCTTGAGAGCCAAACTGCTTTCAACAGCTCAACCTTTCTGGTGAAGCGTGGTCATAGCAACGCTGGCTTTTACTCTGGCCCTCATATGCTTAGAGATGCTCCTGCCAGCATGACAAGTCTTGTCGTCACTGGTACACACAGCCACGCAGATTTGAAGAGAAATCTGTCTCCAATAGGTTCGAACTCGAGCAAATATGGCGTCCACAAAGTGACAGATATGCCTTCTGGGTTGTACTAATAGGTGCTTCTATTGTATGTTTTCGGAACCAACGACTAATTTTAGTGTTTCGTACCTAATTATATGGATAGTGCAATATAGCCCTCTAGGATGAAGTTAACATTTAGTATAACATTCAGTTTTTGGTCGATTTAAATGGCTGTCAATAATTTATTTACCACGTGGGTTAACGTTAGCAAATATAAACTGGACTAACATAATTTGTGAGTAAAACTAGTAACAATTTACTTGAATTCTTTCTTTCTTTTCTCTGGAAAAAATAAAAGCTACTATTAAAATCATTTATTTTGGGATTTAAAATATCACTCAGAACCTAGTCTGCTAATAAATCTAATATGTTTTCGACCTGCCGAAACTGAATGTATAAGTTCATCTTTTAATTTATTTTTAGTTATTTAGCGATTAATTAATTATTATGTATCTTGGTAATTTTGTTTTGTAGCAAAATTGGCTTAAGATCACAATGTCACTGCTGCCAGTTCATCGTTCGTTATTTTTTTTCTGTTATCATTTTGAACTCTTACAACACCATACACGAGTTTCGATTTTAAATTCGATATTAAGAACTACTTGAATTGATATTTCAAAATATATTACCATCATTTCATTTGTCATGCATCTTTTAAATCAATCATAAACCATATCTAGTGCAAATATGTCTGTATATTTGTTTACTACCTAACTACCTTATTTGATCGTTGTAAATAATTCTGTTAATCAATTAAGATCGTAGTATTTTCTTGTATTTACTTTATTATTGTAATAAAGACATGTAAGCATTTATTTTGTTTTGTTTTATAAACAACCAGAATTAATGAGATTTTGAAAATTCGTACCTTCTAGATAATTCTGGTGGCCCGGAGGTTTAAGACGCCCACTTCTCATGCGTGAGGGTGCGGGTTCGAAACCTACCAACGGCAAGTACCAATGTGACTTTTTCCGAGTTATATGTACTTTCTAAGATTATTTAGACACCACTGACAAACGGTGAAGGAAAAACATCGTGAGGAAACCTAGACTTATAATTTCTAATTATAAGTTTGAAATCGCCAACCCGCACTGAGCAAGCGTGGTGATTAATGCTCTAACCTTCTCCGTGTGAGAAGAGGCTTTGCTCAGCAGTGGGCATTTATAGGCTGTTGATGATGATGATGATGAGATAATTCTAAAAAGTTCAGTCATATGGATTAAGTTCTCGATATAGTAGATATATTCAAAGATAAAAAGATTTAAACTAATCTGCTCAATATAAAGGGAAGGTTGACTATGGTACTTAAAGAATAACCAACATCACTCATGTTTCACAATGCCTGCTAAGCCCCATATTTTGAAACTAGACCTTCAAAAAGTATTCATAATGTAATCAATGTTCTATCGACATGAATCCGCAAGAATGTTATCTGTGATACCTATAAAATAATCGGAAATCCTGCTTTCAAAACCTGATGTAACATTTGTTTAACAGTGCCTAAGTATGTCGTCATGATAGTGAAAAATAGTTTTCGCAAATAAAGGAGTGGTTTTGCTATTATTGATAAAGTTGGTATAGGTTACGTTATGAGTTTTTGGCTACATGTTAATGTATAGTCGTGTGGTTTTAAGCTCGACTATCTACTTGGATTAAGGTACTACCTACCCTTTCAAAAGAGTCAGGATAAACACGATAGTGACGTTTTTCGAATAATTGTCAATAATAGCACGACAACTGGAATTATGCACGATGTATAGAAATGGGATCACCTTTTTTTAAGGGGGTAAAATCTTCGAATGACTGCTCCCGCCTGGGTGAGGCGTCAGAGTCTTACTGACTAAAAACCACCCCTTTCCTTTTCCTGCACGTCGAGCCGGAGCCACGGTAACCTGTTGGGTTCTAGCGCACCTCCGCCCATCGGACGGTGCCAGTAAGTATATCAGTAATTATACCCATGTAAACAGTTGGTTAACTTGGCACAGGTCTAAAATAACGGCTTCGAAGGGTCAGACAAAATCTGAATTTTTCACTAGACCGTGACAATGACTCAACAATTTAGGAAATAAATGGTATTATGTTATGATATCGGAAAAAAAAAACAAACGTATCGGTAATTAATTAGTGTAATTACAAACATTTCGAAGCAAGCAGTACATCGACCATATTCGCATCCACAGGAAAATAACGGAACAATGTTTTATGTACAACTCCACCTCCAAATTGTAACTTAATAGGAAATCTAACAATTGATTTTTTGATTTTAAACAACGACTCGGCAATTAACATTATTCACACAAGCCAAGCCATCATTATTACAATCTACAATTTCACTCTCCACTCAAGAACTCCTCTTAATTATAGAAGGACAATAAATAAAACAAAACTTAAATCGGAATCCTTATATCACAATCATATTTACACTATTTACAAGCTTCGTCGGAATCATAGTTTGCTTTCGGCTTCTTTCATCAGGGGGATCAAGGTCCTTTCGTACAACTGTTCTCTCACATCTTTACCCCAGATGAAGTCGTAGTGGTTGAAAGTATCCCTCTCAACTTTGTACGTACCAACAACATTGGGCAAAGTCGCTGCAAGGGTCATTAGGTCCTTGAAATGAACTTCTTTGTCATTCTGACCGTAGTGGAGGTAGGAAGGAACGACGACCTTGGAGAGATCGTACGCTGGAGGGTTGCGGCTGCCATACGCTCCCAAGTTGGCGATAGCGTTGTGGTTGTAGCGACGGAATTCGTTGAATCTGATGGTCTGGCCGTAGTGGGCAACTTGACGGACAGAGGCACCTGCTGGTGCGTGCGACAGGAACAATGGGATCATGGTCTGGAAAAAAAATATATTTAGCGTTGGTGCTTTGAACCAGGTATTAAACGAGATTTTTTTCGATGATCGTGACATATCCGAGTTGGGACACATAAAGACTATTTCTTATATTTACATGAAAGAAATCTTATTCCACTACTGGTCTCAGTCGAATATCATTGTAAAACTTTAGATACTTACAGCATTGTAATGTTCAGGGTCGAGAATGTTGTCGAATTCCATATCACAGAGGTCAGTCAAGAGGCTGGTGAGTCCATTGCAGAAAGTTGATCTGATCCAGTACACGAAATCTCGGTTACCAAAGATCTCGGGCTGGCCTAGGATGAAGGCGGTAGACTGCGGAAGAAGAATGATATGTTACCTTTTTTTCTTCAAAATAATTATTAGCTATATTATTCTAACTAGAAAATTAACAGAAAATGACATTTAGGTGTTGGAAACCCTTTCTAATAGACTTTAGTGACGAAAAATAGAAACTGATTTATCGAAATCGTTATCAGAGGAAATAGCGTGTTTTTAAGCGTACACGTGTCCACGCATCATAGATTTGGTATTTACATCCTGGTATAGCAATTGCGAATCGATTATTGTCAAAGAAATATATTTTAATCTATGTATTTAATTCAATAGCAAATAACGATATTTTTTCGCAAAAGCCGACTTATTGGCTACGTAGCAGATATCTTAACAGCATGATTATTTATGATAATCAGGTAATTTGTGACACGTATAGTCGTATACTATGATTCGATGTTTATCTTCTATTCAAACGATGATAAATAATAATAAGTAAAAGTCATACAACATGTTTTTCTTTTTACATTGTAATAATTTGTTAGTAATTAACATAAACACCTATTCATTGATTATTAATTGGTCTAATGAACAATTCATATAGTAGATTGATGTCTTGATTGTAACTGGTAATTTACGCTGAAGAATTTAGTAGGTTCTTATAATGTAGACAAACGATAATGAAACAAAACCGCTCATTATACTCGTACGGAGCAAAAAGTATGAGTCTACTCATCACTATGCAGCTTCGGTAATATAAAAGATGATATACCAAAATAAATAATTCAACAGTTACTAACCTCAATGGTGCTTTCATGAGGAGCCAAGCTTTTGAATAGTTCCACCTCATTGTGTTCGAAGTAGGAAGCAGGAGCCAATCCTTGGAAGCTGATGAATTTGTCATTGTATTGTGGTTTCAAAGAGTTCAAGACGAGGAAGGTAGTTCCACCTTGAGAATGGCCGATGTAGTGGAGTTTCTCATGACCAGTTCTCTCCAAGATGAAGTCAACGAAAGCAGCCAGGTCAATGTTACCAATTTCATCCCAACTGAACCTCCAGAAGTTGTGGTTGATGCTACTATCTGGGTTCAGAGTTCGGTGTTTGCGTGAGTAGAAGTTACCACGGGCATTGCCTAGCCATACGTCGTAACCAGCTTCAGCAAGCAGGTAGGCTGTGGAAGAAGGTGACATTTAGTTGATAGTTCAACAATATCAAGATGACAAACTTGTTGTTGTCTTAGGAACAATTTTAAATCTTACTCCAGGACAGAAAATAGCGCCTTTCCCTAACATCAAGTCCGGTTTAAATGTCACAATTTTAAATCTGGATGTATGTATAGTTCTCAATGTTTAGGTCCTTCAGAAAATCCTCAGGATTAGCTATGTGATTAACAAATTGTGCGCAGTTTGCTAATCTCTTTGAGATTGGCTACCGCCTTCGATTACCGAATCCTTTGCATTTGATACTGTTTATCAATAATAAATAACATTTTATATTTCTCCAATCACTGTCCGTGTATCGCATTTGCATCAAAACAAATACCTCTATGTCTTCCGAAGAATTAAGCCTGATTAAAATATATCGAACACTGGTATCTAAGATTTCATTTCGAAATTGTCTATCGTCTGCGATTAATCGATACATATCGACAAATGTCACGCAAAGTCGATAGCATTATTAACAAGATATAAATCAAGTATTAAGTATTAAACGACACTTTGAAGTTATTTCGTGACCGGTAAATGAATAATTGGCTACTGATAACAAAGCTAGATTTTATCTCTAATGATGAATTGGAATAATGAATCATTGAAGTAAATATACACGTTTGTGTCCCAAATTTTGCTTAAGTAGACCTTTAAAATTTCAAAGTCATGATGCAATAGATATTACTTTTTAATCTTATTGTGATAACATTCTTTTTAATCAAGGAAGAGGCACGTGCAAGAGGTGCGAAGGGGAAATTGAAGCAGTTGCGATCTGTTCGCAATAATGTTTTATATCCCGAAATGCATATTATTGGTGAAGAGAAATTTATAGAGGATTTGGTATAATACAATTAATAAAAAAATATTCTGTTTTTTATAATATTTATCAAATAAATAATTTTATAATTTATTTATTTAGATTTATTATTTGAATATTTATTATATTCATAATATTAATAAGTTGTAAAGAAATAAAAGATCCATCACTACATAGTATAAAACAATGTCGCTATCCGCCGTCTGTCTTTCCCTATGTATGCTTAGATTTTAAAAACTACGCAACGGATTTTGATGTGGTTTTGTAATAGATAGAGTGACTCTTAAGGAAGGTTTATATATATAATAAATGCATATACCACCCGTGCGAAGCCGAGGCGGGTCGCTAGTTAGAAAATAATATAAACAGAAAACGTATTACACCAAATCATAATAACTTGCAATAAAAGTTAAATGAAGAAATAGAAAAATATCAATTGAGCAGTAAGTTTAGCACGCTAAAGATTTCTGTTTTAATTTAAAAAAAATGCAATCGCCAAAATGACCTCTTTAACTAATATCATAAAGTCCCAAGAATTATAAAGAAATATTTTAATCCAATTAAAAAATATCTAAAGCCGATGTAAGGGCAATGTACTGCGAAGGTTAATTTTCAGGGTTGATGTCACACCCATTGATTAAAACATTTATTATCTTTGTAGTTTTATCAAAGATTGTTTTGTGTGGACGATATTAACCATATACCTATCGTAGTTTTGTTACTTTTACTTAGGTTTTTTTAATAGGAATGATGACGGGGTATGAAAATTAAAAATATAATTAGTCCGTAAGTTTAGATAATTAAAAAATATTTCAATCAAAGTTTAAGAGTGGGGGCTAAAACGTCATTTCTACGTATAAAATGTACATAGAAGTGACGTCACGTGATATTTTAAATCAATATATCGTCGAAAATATTCGTTTCTGTAAGAAAATAAAAAATACGTGTCTAATGATTTAAAATAATCTACAAGACGGACATTAAAATAAAAATTAGGCATCTACCCTATTCAATTTGTTTCAATTATTATTATACCAGTCCTTGAGTTGAGACGTCTCTGAATACTTGTCTTTATGGCCCTGAATCAGATCATTTGTACTACATTTTTGTTTTCAGATTCTGACAAACAGGACCCGGTTAATCAGTAAACTTGTTCACATTAACAAAATACTTAATTTTACTCCATTTGTACCATGTTGTTACTGCCTATAGGAAACTAAAGCACGTGTTAAACGCCAAATTATAAAAATTGATAAATATCATTATATCCAGCGAAAACTTCGCGTCGTGGGAATTTTAATCCGATTGACTGTCTGTTGTTTATTTATTATCTCTACACTTGTGAAGTGGATTTTCCTCTGACGTGTAGATACTGTTTAAAATCATCAAATTTATTTTAATTAGACCAGGAAGGAATATTAAAAAAATGACAATCTGTCGGTCAGTCCTCAAGTGACGCTATTTGCACGTTCCAAAGTATAGATTCTTCCGGAGAAGAACAAACAAGAACCTCCATAGGTTACTCTTGTCTATGTTCCTTCCATCTTTCTACCCTGACCCTCAAGAATCGTAGCTAAATCATCATGCTGCAATAAGTCTTGTTTCTATCTTTATGGATGTTAGTTCTTTAGCGAAAATTTTGGGTTACATGCAATCTAAAGTGTTGAGAAGACCGAACGAAAACAGAAATCCAAGTTAAGACGCTTTCATTCAATGGGGTTACTGTATTTATGCTCACGAAATGACACGAGTGTGGACCTTTCATCCAATAAGGAATCAGCTATAGAGTCACACCAATAAACGTTCTATTTTTGACAGCTATAGTAATTAGACAACCATACTTCTCGCTAGATTAGCACGATCTGGTGAACTGGTAGACCCCATTTCCTAACTGTTCTTCGAGTTGTTCAGTATATATAAATAAATATTTGTATGTCAAGTGCATTCAGATAATTCATGGTATCATGACAATGACTTGTGATTTGTATGAACTTTGCACGGGTAATTACTTAAAATGATAAGGTCATTAACTTGTTCTGATCGGTATGCATCAAAGATATATTATAATCTTTTAATTCCTCTTTTAGGTTTACTTATCCCATTCCTTAAAAGGTATTATTTATTTATTTTTTTATCGATCTCAATGATATACTAGTTTCTTCGCAGTACTTTTTTCACGTGTTTTTTTCTTACATATCTTAATATGGTGTTACACAATCTATAAACCTACAAAATTGCATTTTTATCCAATTAACAGATGGAAAGATTAATGCATTCAATCAAATGAATTGTCAAGTTTGATACTATATGTCTTGTGCACGTGAATTTATTGCATGTAAATAAATTATTGCATTTTGAGTATTTCATAATTGTAAAGATCGACTTTAAAGTCTATATCGTACTGCTTACAAAGTCTGGGCGGTTTTAATCAGACCTTTTGGGATATATTTTAGAAATATGGTGTTCTTAAAGTCGAGTATAGGATCTATGTTCTGCTTAGTACCTACATACTTCTTGCGACCTCAAGATCTTTAACAAAATCTTACCTAAAGCACTGCCGGGTCCCAAAACGATGAAGTCAGCAGAAGAAGATAGAAGACCGTGCATAACAAGCACAGGGATCTTCTTGGGGTCAGGTTTGTTGTTCTGATCCCTGCCATGAGGGATCCTGTGCATCTCTAAGATGTAGCCATCGGAGGTGATGACATTGTGCACTTCAATAGGATAGCCATATTTGGCTACAAGGCCGGGCTGTAAAAGAAATTGGAGTTTCAGATATAATTCATTACGCAATTTTATGTCGGTGAATGACAAATTATTATGAGGCAATGAAAACCAGAAGACCTAATCTGGATGCCAATCAACAATGCAGTGGAGTGCCTTATGGAGTGGTTGAGGGCTGATGGTAATCACGTTATGTAACAGCTAAGACTCAGCTGAATCTAATAAAGGTATATTGTCGAACACACCCCAATTGGATCTTTTAAACAATAAAGAAACATGGTGTTAACAATGAACTTATACTTTGACATTTTTTTAAGGGAGGAATATCATCGAATGACTTCTCCCGCCTAGGTGAGGCGGGAGGGAGTGTCAGACTCTTACTGACTAAAAACCACCCCTTTCCTACTCCTACGCTTCGAGCCGGAGCCCCGGTAATCCGTTAGGTTCTCCGCGACTTTACTTTGACATTGAAAATTTATTCATCGGTGAAATACACTAAGATAATGAAATTAAAAAGAAAATCTCAATAATACCAAATTTAATACTTTAAATATTTACATCATTAATAAAAATGATTCATATTTTATCAGGCAGATAACTCTTAGATCTATTAGATTTGTGCGAAAGGCGCTTCGTATAAAGAAATAATTAATTTGATTAGAAAATACAATATTATTACGCCGGTTTTTCCTCAATAAGGTAAGAAGTAGATAAGCAGTTTCCTTAGGTCGTGCTTTAGTTCCATATTTGCTTTCTCGAAAACAACTGAACTGGATTTGATTAGACTGGCATTGTAGGGGGTTTTTCTAGGTTGAAAACGGCACCATTTTACCAGTTATGCCATATAGAAAATTAAATCACTTCGTACTGTTTTATAATATTAAATGATTTCCATATTTTTATTGAATACTGAATATTTACATGAATTAAATTAAATGTATATAATATGTCCAGTATATTTTTTTAATATTTTTTTAACACATTAAACGGCATGGGTGTCATCGGTGGCCGACGTTAGCAGCGGATTTGCCTTCAATAGTTTTCTATTAGCAGTCAAAGCCTTAATACATATAAAGGAAAACTCGTTTCCACAGGGAAAAACTTTTCTTTTTAAAGCTTTCATCCTATGGAGCTCCTATTAATTACATAACATAACATCACGCCTTTTATCCCCGAAGGGGTAGGCAGAAGTGCACATTATACCACTGTACAATGTAACACCCACTTTTCACTATTTATGTTATGAGTCCCATGTAATAGGGGGTGAGCCTATTGCCATATACCGGGCACAGTTCCAGACTCCGTGCTACTACTGAGCATTTTTAAAAACCCATTAATACTTTGCTCGACCCGGGAATCGAACCCAAGACCCCTTTACCTGACAGTCGCAATTGCAACTACTCGGCCAACGAGGCAGCTCCTATTAATTAAAAAAAATATTCACCAAAATACAAAAAGACTCCCAAATTTTTAGAAATTAAAAACGACAAAGTAAATAAATAAAATCTATTCAACAAATATGTTATACACGCAACACATAAAAACTCACCGCATCTAAATTGATGTCCTCTTCAATATCACTGGACATCCGCGATGCAGGCGAATTTTTCAGGAGCCCTTCAGCATAATTGGCGTTTGGGGGCCTACGGGCCGAGGCGGAAACCGCTAACGCAACGAAAAGTACAATTTTCAGCACCATTTTTGCACGTTAGTGATCTACTGATGAATTTAACTTGTGGACACCGACTTTTGTAAAGCGCTTATCTCATCGTCAGACCCTTATCTCAAGATTAAGCTGCCGTTATAATGTTTAGGAAGTCAGCAATTCTAAATCGTATTTTGTAAAAACAAATAATTATCTGCGAATTAGAGAATTAATTACTTTTTTTTCCTTTTACTTTTTTTACAGGAAGTTTTATTGGCATTCCGGTTTTTGGTGAATTGTTTAATGACCTTTCTGATATCGATTTAAATTGGTATTTGTATCACTTTTATAGTCAAGTATTAATGACTGCTTGTCAAGGTTCAATCCGTATTTTCAAGGATAGAAAATGTCCTTATTTCCACAAGGAAAAACCGATATGTTTTCCCTACTGTAACACTGATTTCAACACATGAATTGGGTAGTTTCCAGGGTATCAAAATTAAAAATCTAATTAGTCCGTCAGTTAGGTAATTAAAAAATATTAGACACGTATTTTTTTATTTTCTCATATTAAGTTGCAATACTTAGATAAAATGGCTCTAAGTTTAGGAGTGGGAGGTTGTTATGTCATAACGTGGTACAAAATGTGGCACGCTGTGACGTCACACGGTATTTAAAATTTATACATCGTCTAAAGTATTTAATTTTATGAGAAAAGAAAAAATCAGTCTAAAGATTTAAATTAATGTACCAAACGGAGAAAAAGTCTAAAGTTTTAAATTAATGTACCAAACGGACATTAAAATAAAATTTAGGTAACTACCCTATTGAAGACACTTTTCTTTTAAGGGGGGAAATCATCGAATTTCTTCTCCCGCCTAGGTGAAGCGGGAGGGAGTGTCAGACTCTTACTGACTAAAAACCACCCCGTTCCTACTCACGCACTTCGAAAATTGGGGGCGCTTAGGTTTTGTTTTAAGAGGAGTCGCGGAAAAAAGTAAGTAATTGCGAGTAATTCATTCCCAGACTGATTTAATTCCTTTGATTTGATTGATGGTTATATAGCTGATGCGAAAGTGATCAATATTACTTGACTCGACGTAATGATTGTACTTCGTACGGGGAATTCTTTAGGCTTAATTGCAGAGAACATAAAATACGTTTTGCAATATTTTATTTAACCTTAATGTGTGTGTTTTTACGGCATAAGTCGGTAAACGAGCAGACGGATCACCTGATGGTAAGCAATCGGCGTCACCCATGGACACCTGGAATACCAGAGGCGTTACAAGTGCGTTACCGGCCTTTTGGGGATTAGGAGTTTGAGGATCGTTGGGGATTCAGGAATTGGGGAGATTAAAGAAGGAGAGGGTAATTGGGCCTCCGGTAACCTCACTCACACGACGAACCACAACGCAAGCGTTGCTTCACGTCGGTTTTCTGTGAAGCCGTGCTATCACTATTTATGTTATGAGTCCCATGTCATAAGGGGTGAGATTATTGCCTACATAACATTATGTTGGTAATGTTTGATTGGAAAATGGTTGGCCACGTCAGTTTCACGTTTTCGCGTGCATTTACGTCTATTTTAAGCACTTATGTAAGTAGAAAATTATTTCTTTCTACTGATAGGCTACATATTAACACGCTATCATCTACGGAGGTCGCGGAGAACCTAACTGCTTACCCGGGCTCCGGCTCGACGTGCAGGAGAAGGAACGGGGTGGTTTTTAGTCAGTAAGAGTCTGACACTCCCTCCCGCCTCAACCAGGCGGGAGCAGTAATTCGATGATTTTCGCCTCTTAAAAAAAAATCATCTACGGGGAGCTGTAAATCTTTATTTCTCTTACACATTCTATGACAGCGTATAATCTATCTAATGACGCATATATACATAAATGTGTTATTGAGGAAACCATGCTATTATGATATTGTTGTTTTATCATTAGATAAATGTCCATCGCCTGCCTTTTACTAACATATCAATATAATTAAGCTATTGCGTCATTTTAATGCAATAGAATATTCATTATGTAATTAGTTACGTATTGTACCTAGGTTTCGTTAGGACTTGAGTTCTTTAGCAGTGGTATTAACTCGTCGAGTACCGGTTTTATAGACACAATTAAAGAACAATAGGTCGCGGTCACCGGTGACCGCTTGGTGTTTGACAGTTTAACCTTTAGAGAACGAAGAGTATAGTTCCCTAAAATCGGAAAACAAGGATCCTCCGACCAGCCGAGGTGATCGTGGCTGGCGGGCTTTCTGGTCCGTGGTGGTCTGATGGCTCTTTGAGACGCGCGCGGAACGCGACGCTCCGTACGCTTGGGTATAGTATCCTATGGAAAAGAACGAGCAAGAAACTCCATAGGTTACTCTTTTTCAATCAGGTTCACAATACAATTTTCTAGTTACATATTTTTGTTGTTTGGTTTGTGTTTATACCTTGTATAGCTCCAACTTGTTTCTTAGTAGACCTATTAGTTTTCTAAAGTATAATTGAAACTAATTTACGGTTGTTCTCTTGTTGTCGATGACTAGCATTAACGTTATTGTTTTTAAGACTCGAGCTATGAACGATAAGCATCGGTTTATCGTTCATAACATTTAGTTCACCTTGATTCAAGTTCAATTGTCTAATATTTTTACCTGTATTGTATCTACAAAGGAAGGTTCTAGAATTCTAATGTTCGATTCACAAACAACTCTTAACAAAGCCTTTGGTTTTCACCAACCTATAAGTAAGTGGCACCTAAAGGTAAGTTTAAGACGTTTAGGTGCTCCGTCGAGCTAATCAACTCTTAGTTAAGACATGATTTAGAGGCGCATGGTGGAAATGGATTTATTACTTGATTGATCTTTAAACACGATAGACCGCCTCGTTGGCCGAGTGGTCGCAAGTGTGATTGCCGGGCAAGGAGTCTCTTGATCGATTCCCAGGTCGGGCAAAATACTACAGGGTTTTTGAAAAAAAGTCATTAGGAGCACGGAGCCTGGAATTATGCCCAGTATATGGCAATAGCCTCACCTCCTATCACATGGGTCTCTTAACATTAATAGTGAAAAGTGGGTATTACGTTGTACAGCGGCATAAGGTTCCGTAATGTGCACCTCTGCCTACCTCTTCGGGGATAAAAGACGTGACGTTATGTTGTATGATCTTTAAACCATAATGAAATGTCTATAACAGCTTAATTTAAGCTATTTACAACCTCTCTGGCTGATCACATCAAGTTACAAAACAATTCAGTGATTCTTATCAATGCGAAACGTCAAAGCTGCCGTCTTTAAAATGTCATACGACATCGGCTGAAATTCTGATTCACTGCATTATAGAAAAAGCAAGGAAAATATAAAATATTAAAGATTAAAATATATGGTAGTAAATGTTAAAGATAAAAACACTTAGGTACCTAGTATAAATTAAAATAGCTTATTTTCACAAATGACTAATCAGAAGTATAAAAATAAACAGTGAATGTTCTACTTATCAGTACATAATAACAACTTAGAGATATGAATGTGATGAATCATAGAAAAGAGCTTGGTAGTTACCATAAAGTTTTTATTTATAACTTTTGAGATAGCACTAATACATCAGAAGAAAACCGACGTAAAACCACTTGCGTTGTGTTTCGTCGTGTGAGTGAGGTTACCGGAGGCCCAATTACTCTCTCTCCCCCTTCCCCAATCCCTGAACCCACGACAATCCTCAAATATTATTATATTGTATTGAACAGTCGATATAATTTATTTATGACTAAAGACAGTACCCAATAATGGCCACAAAACAATATTCGACTTACAAACAAGCTAATTCATCTAATAGCGGTCTTCTCCTAACAGCGGGCGGCCCACGCGCACCCTCTCCTGATTGGCTCAGCTGGACGTTGCGCAAGAGTTCCAGCAACAAAGTCACGCCATCTAGCGGCTCGCACGAGAATTCTTGGACAAAACTGAAAAAAAAGAAAATATAATTTAACACATCGTGGATGGCAGCCGCATTTCGAACCATCTAACCAATTAAACTGTCAAACACCGCGCGGTCACCGGGGACCGCAACCTATTGTTCTTTAATTGTGTCTATAATGACGGTACTCGACGAGTTATTCCCCAAAAGGCTGGTAACGCACTTGTAACGCCTCTGGTGTTCCCGGTGTCCACGGGCGACGCCGATAGCTTACCATCAGGTGATCCGTCTGCTCGTTTACTGACTTACACCTAAAAACGTAATGAAGAAAAATTTGAAAACTAATGATGATGATTTACTTTTTAAAATGATGGATTTGTATTTAAGTAGCTAATAAAGACCAGACGTGACTTGTTAATTGATAATAACATAATACACGCATGCAAAGATGATTCGTCATAGTATATAATTACAACACAATTTTAGGTGCACGGAAAGGGTTCCAGAATCAGAAACCAGTCTCTTTAGCAGTTTCATTCCAAGAGAGGTTAGTTTTTAGGTAGTAAAATCCTTACATCTGCTAGTAATAGATCAACTTTTTTTGTATTAAACCGGTAAACGAGCAGGCGGATCACCTGGTAGTAAGCAATCGGCGTCGCCTATAGACACCCAGAACACCAGAGGCGTTACAAGTACGTCACCGGCCTTTTGGGGATTAGGAATTTGAGTATTGTCAGGGATTCAGGGATTGAGGAGAGTGGGGGAGGGCCTGTAATTGGGCCGGTAACTTCAGTCACACGACGAAACACAACGCAAGTGTTGTTTCACGTCGGTTTTCTGCTCAGCCGTGGTATCACTCCGGTCGAGCCGGCCCATTCGTGCCGAAGCATGGCTCTCCCACACTTAATTTCGTTTTTTTAGCTTCATACATTAATAGGTTTATTAGGTTATCGACTTCAGGTTATAAAGGTATATGGTGAACACATCCACTGATGAACAACGGCCTCCCATCTTGAAAAACTCTTGGTCCTTGGGATCACAGTTAGGTCACCGAAACTTTAGGATTCAAAGTAATTCTGCCTGTTAATCGGTTTTTATAACAATTTATTTCAGTTATTAATCGTACAATAGGATTTATCAAAGA